GTGACAGAAAGACTGTTATTATAGAGCCCTGAAACCGAGAAAGTGGATAAATCCGGTATCTAAATTTAGAGGGGAAAATCCTCAAACACGTAGTGTAGCCAAAACACATATTTTGTGAGTCCTTGATATCGAAAAATCGAACGAAGGCAAAACGTCTGTCTGTCCGTACGCCTGTGAACTAGCGGCTGAACTGTTCATCTCATTTTATTCAGAGTCGATATTCCCCCAATCGATCTGCCGGCTATCACGGCCTCTTGAATTTGAAACAGATAATTTAATTTTGGAGGGTAATTTACACGAAGCGCCTGGAATATTTTACAAAACTCCATTTGATTAAATTTTGCTGTTGTGATATAGTGTAAAACACTTTACGAGAATGGTGCAGGTTTATTGTTCGTTTAAAAATTGTGATTTTTTGAAAATTGTAAAAGTTTTCCTACAACTAAAACATTTTAGTTTGAGATTTTTTATTGCCTTCGTGAAATCTGTTTCTTAAAGATAGATTTTAAAATATGGTAATTTTCAATTTTTCGAAAATTTGAGTATTTTTCGCGCAATTCTGCGTGAAAATACGGACGAGATATTACGTGCAGTTTTAGCACCACTAATTTCCTGTCTTTTCCAGAGTAAAGAAATTCCCAGATTTTTCCCGGTTTCCCAGGAAGTGGCCACCCTGCCGCCGGCGCCGCAGTGGCCCGGACGGAGCGTCGCGACGCCGGCTGCGCGCGCCGGGCGCCGCAGCCACCTGTTGCCGCCTTCGCCTCCGCTTCTTGCGCCGCCGCCGCTGCCGCGTCGAATGTTAATGATCAGCGGCCAACAAATAAAGCTAATTATCACGCGCTCGAGTGTGGCGAGCTGATTAAGAGGCGAGGCGTGCGGCGCGGCGGCGGCGGCGACGCGCACGTAAAAAGCGCACGCCTTGCAAGGGCCGAAAGGGCAAAAAGCGGCGGAGCGCACTCGCCCGCTCAACCCTGCGGTCGACGGCGGAGGGTAAAACATTGCGCATCCCCCGGCAGGGCAGGACGCGCGCCACATAGATGCCGATTTTTGGAAACATCCGAATTTCTATTAAAACACATCCGGGTACTGACGACGTTTTTTTTAAACCTCAATGTTTTTACCTTTTCGATTTTTGTTCTTACATGGAAAATTCCCGGAAATAACAATTGTGTACAAGTTAAGATATAACTGATCCTACTACTGTCAGACAGTGTGCTTTCTACAACCTTCATTCAGCACACTACCTCTCGCCCTAGATGATCCTGATACCCAGGTATTTCCTTCTCAGTTTCTTCGAGAAAGTTTAAGATATTAATGAAGCCGTCTAACGAATGAGTGTTTAAGGTTAGGAAAGGTTGTATGTTGAATGTTATGTTAATGAAATAAAAAATTGATTTTCAGGCTCATGCACATCAACATCAATGCGAAATAAATAACGAAATTTTCTTTTAGCAAAAAAAGTAAACGCCTGGCGCATTGAAGACGCTAATCTATAAGAAAAATCAGAAATATAACACATTTATTCATTCACACTATTATATTTACGTAGAATGAGGAAAATATGCGATATTCTGGGGCCTCCTATTTCATCCATATTCTCCTCACGGCAATCCCTACATGCGGGACTTGTGGGTTGAAGTAAAAGAGTTCATTTACAAAATTGCTGGCTTACAATCTTATGTACCGTTCCTGAGACGATCCCTTCAAACTCATGAACTCTCTTGAAAGCGAATCTGTCCAAGTTAACGAAACGGGCCGCTAAATAATTTGGAAAAAAGGAAAATGTTCTCCAAGATTCTGATTGCCGCCAGAAATACTTGAACTCCGAATCGTTTATAAACTTCACAATTGTAGGCAGTACTTCTGCACCCGAATCCGTTGGCGGCGCTGAGAAAACCATTACTTTCGACTAATTTAATAGGCAAATATTTTTATCGTTTACATTTTAGAAATTAAAGGTAAAGAGAAATCATAAAATTAAGAACAGCATGTAAATAACACACATGCTCTGTTCTACGTTGCTAGATTATGTGTTTTTAATGGAATATTGTCCTTAATTTTATGATTTTCTTTCAGAATCACCAGGTAAAGTATTGTTCTTGAATTTGCGTATTGTTTTGAAAGTTGTATTTCTTACACTGATTTCTAAAAACAGAATAATACATTTTTGTGTGGTACAGTGGTAAAAAAATAACAGTTTCATCTCTATTGTATAGAGACTTTTATTTTGTTCTGAGTCCAGGAACATCCACCGAGAGCAACGGCCTCCCACTTTTCGGTAGGGCCGGTTCGCGCAATAGGGAACACTAGTTATTATTTCGGTGCGGGGCGTCCGCCTGCTGAACGCCCGCCGTCGCGGCCGCCTGGAGCGCCCTGCGGCGGTCGGTGGAGGTGCGGGGGCGGGCGGGTGTGAGGGCGCGCGCTCGGTTATCACCTCGTGTGCGACGCAGCGTGGCGTCGCGCTCTCCGCCACCGCCGCCGGTGATCGATACGCGCTGCGCACTCAGATAGGCATCTCCCCCTCCCCGCCCCCGCCTCTTGCCAGCGGGGGGAGCGGGGTAATGAGGGAAGGGGAGTGTCGCGTCGCAGCGGCCGCCTCACGTCAAGACGCGGTGAGAGACTTTTTTTCTTTTTTTTGAACAGCGCAGCGTAGACGCAACTACGTTCTCTCACGCAGCGAGTTACCTTTATCGGTTGTCTCCATACAGCAACGCGGTACTATCAAGTTAAAAGACCTCGTTCAGTAATAGGGGTGAGATAGTGCGCTAATTCACAATTATCAGTAACTTCGAACCACTTTTGATGTTAATTGAAGCTAATACTCACCTGTCAAGTGGTAATTACACTGATTTGGTAAAAATAAATTTAAAAAAAAGCGCGTCATCATCAGTTGCCTTCTCCTAGCAATGGAGTATTAAGACAGAAGACTTGAAGTGAACAAGCAGAATGCTTTGCGAGGTCCAGGAAACGAGTTCGAAAGCTTCTCCGTTCGAGACGAATGTGGGGTCATGCAAATGCATGCATGTTATGCTAAACCATTAGCAGTAACAACGTCTAAGTGTTTAAGAAGTTATTGTAAGTTGTGAACTGTAGACAGGAGTCTCGAAATTAAATTGTTATTTATTTTGTTCTTGGGGAAGTCGATTATTTCTCGAAAAAGAAACGACTGACGGGAAGTCGATGATAAAGCAATTGTGACGCTCTGACGATTGAGAAGTCAGTACGAAGTAGGGCATGTAAGTATGTGTGTGTAAAGAGTAAGGATATGAAAAGGACGAAGAAGGACGAATCTCGTGAGGCCCGTGGCCCGTTTGGTAGGCTACTGCATTCGCCGGGTGTTGACCGGAGAATCATAAAAAACTACCGATGAGAGCAGAAATGACTACCGATGAGAGTGAAATTCGAACTAGTATATAACCAGTGTGGAAACTCTCCTACTATCGAGACTCCAACCCTATGCCGGACGGAGCTATCGTGAGGCTGACTCTGAGCTAACTCAGCCGGCGCGTGTGCCGAGGCAGTCCTATGCGGTGACCGCAGGTCCGCTATTTGCAGCAGGTCAGTGGTGAAGAGCCGCACCTCCACGCGTGACCCCGGCAGCGCCTCTGCTCGGCGAGTGGGACTCTGCGCGAGCAGCCGGACGTGGCCGAGTGCAGCGCCCTCGTGCGCCGGCGCCGCCTCCGCGCATGCGCCGTTCCGCCACCGCTCCAACACAGTGGTCCCGTCCCCGTAGTATCGAGTTCACAACGCTCCGTTATCAATTAGTACGTAAAATATAGATACGAGAAATAATAGGACTTACACATAATCTTAGAGTTTTTGAGAATGTTTTAAATATATTACTTTTTTAACATAACATTTTCGGTAAAATATCAATTAGTAAATAAACTATAGATACGGGAAATAATAGGACTTACACATAATTTTTGAGTTTTTGAGAATGTTTTAATTAAATTACTTTTTTTAATATAACATTTGCCGTAAAATATACCTTATATTACGTCTCAAGAAAATAGTTTACCTCCAGATTGTTTCGCAGGGAAGAGGGTTAATGTGCCAAAACACCCGTCCAGTCAGAAACGTCGTTAGTTTAGTTGTTTCTATATCGATGCAAGCTCGTAACCCAACATTGTCTAGGTTTTTAAATGACAGTCACATCAGACACAAAGAGAAATGAAATCTGTCTTCAGAGTTTAACACAATGAATTTTATTTAATTTCAATTACGCACTATTTCGCTCTGCCCCCCCCCCTCCTCAAGAGGCTACCCTGCCCCGTCCTATAACCCACATCCCCTCTCCAGGTTCGTTCCAGAACACATAGTGCACCTGCCAGCTTCTTAGCAATGCAATGCCTAAACACAGGAGTGCGTTACAGGTTGCATTAAACGTTTTTAAAAGGACGAATATCCCCTTCCTTCTTAAAAATCGTCGCGTACCAACAATTCACTCCTTTCCGTCAAGGGTTTCGACCAGAACTCTACGGGACATTACACTGGGAAATTCAATAAGAGTGCAAATAGTTGAAGCACGAACTCATTCAGCCGTAGTTTTGAATCCAATAAAATAATCCTTAACACTCTGGTACCCGGGAGCGTTCTCCCAGACCAAAGGCGTTGGCGAGAGCTGCATTACCTCCAGAGATTTATTCTTCCAGGACTACCCATTCCACCTCATTCTTCCTCACCAGTTGTCTGTAAATTTCACCAAAGGGCGTCATTGTAATCTCAACGTCCGAACCGTCCAAGTTTCAAAATACTGACATACTTAAAAGAGAAGCAGAAACGAAGAAGAATGGAGTCACCAAATAATTCGACAAATACAAATTCAAGCTATTGAGGTTCTATTGCAATAGTTTTTCTTACAAAAATCCTTATGAGATAAACATAGTAGAACATCTATACGTCGAACTAGAATAATAGAGTTTTGACGATATATCGATAATATGCCTTCTCACCTTCCGTTAAGATGAGTAATTTGGCAACTCGAACGTTGTCTTGACGAATGGTTGGTAATTCAATTCTTCTTCTTTCCTTGACATTGGAAGTTTTTTTGCGCGGAAACGCGATCGCAACAGCTGCACAGGCGAGCAGAAGGTTCGGAAAGCTGGAGGCTGCAGCGCGAGCTCATTGACCTTTCCGCAGAGACGCATCGCGCGAACTTAATGAAAAGGCGACAATCCGTCGAGGCGGCGCGTCGCGGCGCCCCACTTCGTGCCGAGAGAGAGGCGGCGGCGGCGTCGCGTCGCGCGCGGCGGCTGTTGAGGTGGGGGAGGCAGGAGGGTGG